AAAAAAAAAAAAAAAAAAAAAAAAAGCTCAAGGACATCACCAGCTCCCTAAGTCCAGCTCTTTGAGATGAGAGGCAAAGCTGCAAGGCTAGCACCCACAAGCCTGCACCCCACTCTGCTGCTGAAGCAGATGCCGGCCAGATGTCATGAGGATGTTCCCTGGCTCTCCCAGGGCTCCACCATGTATATAATTCTTCTTCCTTAATGGAAAAGAGGTCACAGATAAACTGCCCCTATTCTTCAGCAAGGTCGAAATTAGTTTGGGATGGCATTCAGCTAAACATCACATAACCACTATTTCTGCTTGGGAAAGATTACAGACAAAGTCTGGAATACTGGTTCCAGTTACACGAGACTCAGCCATGAGCTACAGTCAGTTACCCCTACCCACCGAGTAAGCCAAGCCAGCTTGGGGCCACTCAGGTAATTGAACTTTCCCACCTTAAGGTCAAAGGCTAAAGATGGGCAAATATTACCAATACATTATTTGGCTCTTCCCAGTCTACTATTTTTTTCTCACCAGTCTATTTCCCAGTGTTCTGAAATTTTGATTAACCCTACTGGCATGGCATTGGAGTGATGACACTGAAGGCTCTGGAGTCAGACAGCCTGGGCTTGAATCCTAGCTCCTCTACTCACTAGCTGGGAAAGTTACTTAAACTCTCCAAGTCACAGTACTCTCATCTTTAAAATGGAAATAATAATTGTATGTACTTCCTACAGCTGCTGTCAAGAATAGATGGGTTAATATACAAGGTGGACATAAAGTTCGTGTGCAATTAACTATGCTGAACTAGTTTGTGACACAAACTTTATGTCCACCCTGTATATAAAGAGCTTAGAGCAGTGCCAGGCACACGGTATGAGCGCAATATATATGGCCATCATTCCTGTTAGAAGACAGCACGGCCTGCCCAATAGACAGGACTTACCCGCTTAAGGTAGAAGTTTTTCTCATGCTTTAATAAAAAGGCAAAAAACAACTTCATAATTGCAGGAGACTAGGGAGGAAAAGCCTCCCACAAGCCCAGACCACATCAGCTGGGAAGAAGAGGACGAATGAGTGAGAGAGAGAGAGAATGCGCAGGGGACGTGGCCAAGCTACCTCAGCTTCGTACTGCTCCCTGGCCTGCTCCACCACTTGCTGGTGCTCCCCCTTCATCTTGTCCAACTTCCTCTCGTGCTCCCTTTCTATTTCTTGGCGCTTCTCTCGTAGGAGACTGCTGAGCTGTGGGGCAGATGGCAGGGATGCAGCATGAGGACTGAAGGTGGACCAGCACTTGGGGCCTGGTGGCCCTCAGGGTCTTATACACACCTCCCACTCAACACACACAATCATTACACTTATATGGCACCCTGGCATACACATGGCCATATCACTAATACCCCTTCTTCACATAAAAGAGGGGCCTGGAGATGCAGAAGCACCTGGCTTCAAGGGAACTAAGGTGTAAAAATGGAACCAGAGGAACTAACCCCAAACAGGAGGACACTCAGGCCAAGAGAGAGCCCATGCATGACAGGTGCATACAAATACTAGAGGCACAGCCAGCACTCAGCACTCACCTCTTGCTCATACTCCATCACTTGGTGAACCTTCTGGAAAGCTCTCTGCTCTACCCGCCCAAGGCTCTCCTGCAGATGGGCCTCCTCTTTATACTGAGCTTCCTCTATCTTCTTTTGGAGGCTGGAGACCACCTGAAGAGGCCCCAGCACACACAGGAAATGTGACCCTCAGAGGGACTGCAGATCTGCTGCTAGGGGACACATTCTCAGCACCCAGCATCCATCCCCAGGGAAGTCCTGAGCCCCTCTGCTGACCAGCCATGAAGGGGGTCCTGGGGCTCACACTCAGGGCCCAGGACACCCAGGCTCTGCCCTCTTAGCCAGGGCCAGCCACATCTCACCTCCCGGTGCTTGGCCTCCAGTGAGGAGCAGAGCTGCTCCAGCTCAGCACTGTGTTCCTTCTCTAGCCTTGCCACTGCCTGGGGAGAAGCAAAAGGCCTGTGAGGGAAGCAGGCTGGGAATGGCTGGCCTGGTACTGACCGCCCCCAAGGGCACATCTTTGTTCCTCAGAAAAAACTCAATCCCTAAACTCCCAACTGGTGAATAAACAGGAACACGCATGCTGGGACAGGGGTGCATTTCAGTCTCAGCTCACCGCTCCCATCCCCCTGCCTCTGGGCTAAGCCAGGGGTCCACAGATGGCATTCATGATATGACTAAGATCAAAGCGAGAGAGGGTGCAATCTCTCTGAGCACCTGCAGGACAATGAAGTCCCCTCAGTCCTGCTGCAGTTTTTCCCTGTGTAATAGCTAAAGCGCCACTCCTCACCAAAAGAGAAAGGATGGCCTGACCATTATGGCAGCATCTAACCTGGAGGGAGAGGGAGCAATGACAAAGGAGAAAACCCCTCAAGTTGCTAGTCTCTCACTCTAAGGCAGGAGAGGAAGGGGGAAGAAGGTGAAGTCACCGCAGCTGCCCCTTAGAATCAGGGACAGGATACCCTTGTCTCAAGACCTCTGGTCTGGCTAAAGTTCTTCCCATCGTGAAGCCCTCCCAAATCCACAGGACACTTCCCCTCAAGTCTCTGATGATCCCTCCACCATTGACAACACCCAGCTGGCAGTGCCCATCTGGCCCAATTCTGGAGGGACTCTGGACATCTGACATATCCACCCTGCCATGGAGACCAGAGCCAGCACCTGCCCTAAGCAGAGTCAAGTCTACTGCAGTGATGAGCCCAGAAGGTCAGCTCACTGTACCCCAGGCCTGTGTGTGCATGGCGTCCACTCTCTGCCTGGCTCCCCGGCCTGCATACCACCTGAGCCCTGCCCCTGGCCCTGCTCTATCTCTGCACTCAGTTCCTCCCCAGGTAGCCCAGCAACGCATCAGAGGATGAAGTCCCCGCTTGACTTCCTCACTTCTTTCCTTTCCCTTTCCAGCTGCTCCCACAGCTGCCGCAGAGCCTTCTCCTTCTTGGCATTCAGGGCAACCTGCTCACTCTTCTCCGATGCCTCCATCTCCTCCTTGAGCTGCACCAGCATTTGCCTGTTTTTCTGTTCCAAGCTGGCCCTCTTGGCCTTCTGCTGAGACTCTAATTCTTCTCTCAGCCTCTGCAGGGAAGCCTCTTGCTCAGCCCTGGGCAGACAGAATGGAATGCGGATGGCCTTGTGCACTCTGGGGTCACCTCCACAGGGCTGGGCAACCCACAGTACATATTCACCTGATTCGGTCTGCGTCTGTTTCTGCACTGGCCTGGACCTGGGCTCGGAGCTGGGATAGCCTCTGGCTTTCCTCCTCTCTCATCCGGGCCTCCTCCTCCTGGGTGGCTTTCTGCAGCTGCTCCTTCAGGGAACTTAAGCGGAAAGGAAAGGCGAGTTTGTTGGTGGGATGGCAAAGGTCTTTCCTCTTGTATTCATAATCCCTAGCTCTCAGCCTGCAATAGCCCTGGAGTCTGCCTACAAAGCGTCCTAAATCTTAAAGACAAGTCTAACCTCAACCTCTGCATCCAGGCTGCCTCCCTAAATTCCCTCCAGGGTCACCAGGGGGCCATGAACCCCCCTTGCCACAGGAAGCAGACTGTAGGCTGTTGGGTCTGAGTACAACATTTCTTCTAACGCGCACTTGGCCAACACATTCCCTGTAGCACAGCATTTGCTCAAGGACAGACAGTCACCCACCCGACTCTGGTTCCACATTCTTTCCCGCCCCACCCTATAGACTCCATTCTAGGCACATCAGATGAGCCACCATCCCTAAATTCCACCACATTCTCTTTGCCTCTTGGCCTTTGTCCATGCTAGTTCCTCTGCCAAGAATTCTTTTCTATCTGTCAAACCCATATTCATCAATCAGCACCCAGCTCCCTCCTCTCTGCGAAGTCTTTCTAAACCTCCGCTCCCCACCATTCATCAATTCATCTTTCTGTTCCCAACATACTTTGTAGGTGGACCTTTCTTATCTCATGCCTCTCTGTGCCGTGCAGCATAATTGATCTTTTTTTTTTTTTTTTTTGGCTAGGGCTGGGTTTGAACCCGCCCCCTCCAGCATATAGGGCCAGCACCCTACTCCTTTGAGCCACAGGCACTGCCCGCATAATTGATCTTTTGTATCTGTTTTCCTTGCAAGTCTGGGAGCTTCTTCAGAGAAAAAACTCTCATCTTAAAATCCATTATATCCCAGGGGCCAAAGAGAGTACAGACACAAGGAGGTACCCTGTAACGTGTGCTGGACTGGAGCACATCACCAGCCCCCAACTACAACAAGCCTTGATTGTTCATGAAAGGTACCTTATTTATAGGCCAACGACATTTCGACCGAAGCAGACATCCCTCTGCTCACACAAGCGATACCTTTTTCAGGGAGCTCCTCACACAGCCCTACATGACCTGGGGATGTGAGCTGTGCATTCAGGGAACTCAAGCCTAAGAAAAACGTGATTTGGAAGACCCTTTCAAAAGTTTCTGTAGAGAATTCCAAAGCCAAAGGATTTAGAATGGTTTCTTATTTCAAGTTATTAACACCACTGTTCTCTTCTACTATGATAGAAAATTGGAATTAAGGCCAAGCACAGGGACTCCCACTTGGAATCCCAGCACTCTGGGAGGCCAAGGTAGGAGGATCCCCTGAGCTCAGGAGTTTGAAATCAGCCTGAGCAAAAGCAAGACCCCATTTCTACTAAAAATAGAAAAAAATAGCCAGGCGTTGTAGCCAGTGCCTATAGTCCCAGCTACTTGGGTGGCTAAGACAAGAAGATTACTTGAGCCTGGGAGTTTGAGGTTGCTGTGAGCTAGGCTGACTCCATGGCACTCTAGCCTGGGTGACACAGTGAGAATCTGTCTCAAAAAAGAAAAAGTACCTCCTGGTACTTGGGTGGGTACCAGGGTGTTTACTTGGGTGGTACTTCCTTCTAGATTTCCCAGAAACCCTTTCTCCTTATCTCACAGCTAAATTTTACACACAGTAACAGAATGTTAGAACCAATGGGGACTTCAGAGGTAAGTCCAATATCTTCATTTTGCAGCTAAGAAACTAAGGGGCTACCTGCCTTCTCATCCAAGAACCTTTTTACGAGATCAGCTGTGGCTTCCAGAAATTTCTGCCCTGTGTAAATTTCTCAGCAGAGAAAAGGAAGGCTGACCCCTCAAAAAGGCGTGGGCATAAACGGAAACAGGGTTCTCTCGATGAACTACTTTGAAGAGAACCAGGCTAAGCACCACCCACAGAGAAATCACTTAGGTGAGATTGTCTGAAACTGCATGGATTTGACCTGAAAACAATGAGCATGACCTGGACCACCACGTTCCAGGCCCGATCAGGTGCTTTTGGCATACTAGTGCTCACCACCGTCTCAGAGGGCTCTCTGAAGGCTCCACGACAGGCAGAGGGCTTCAGGGAGAAATGCAAAGCACAGTAAGCCAAGCCTAGGGTGGCCAGGAAGGGGGAGGAGCCTGGTGGGCTGGCAGGGAGACACCACTGGCACTTCCCTGAGCTGCTGCATCCTAAGGTGAGCTGCTGACTCATGTCTAGTTTGGATGCGCCCTTGCCCCAGTTTTCAGTTGCCTGGAAGAGGAAAATGCTGTGGGAATGTCTGTTCTTTGGGATGCTTCTTGGCAGAGGACCCAGAGGTATGATATAAAGACAGGGCCTGGGTCAGCAGATCCTGTGCTGGGATAACAAAAGAGATTGCCCCCAGCCCTCCCAGTACTTGGGTGTTGGTTTTCTGCTTTATTTTCTCTAAATTAAGCATAAATGTTTTATACACTTTGCTATGTATAATCTAAAAATAATAACTCTCTCTACCACCCTTGGATGTTCTAAGAGGACAAGATTTAGCCTTTACATAAATTGCCAAGTAAATGAAATACATTAACACCTTTTTGTAGTATCTTTCCCATACTGGGACTGTGACAGATTGCTCATTACCATCTCTATATCCATTCTCCTTTTTTTCCTACTAACAGAACCCTGATCTTTTTCCATCAGGTAAAAAGGCCAGCTAAAGAACTTATATTTCCCAGTCTCTTTTACAACTGGGATAACCAATGAGATATGGCAGAAATTACTGGGTAAGGTTTCCAGGAGCATCTTAGTAGAGCCATGGGCATCCCAGTGGTCTCCTGGATGGGAGGAGGGTGTCACTCACACCTCGCATCCCTGCAAGGCCCAGGGAGTATGCCTAGGGGGAGGGCAGGACCTGAGAGCCTTCTCTTTCTGCTGGTGAAGCCAGAGCTTTTCCTCCTCCTCCTCCTGCTGCAACTTCTCCTGCAGCTGCTGAATCTTCTCTCGCTTGGATTCCAACAGCCGCCTCTGCTCTTGCTCAAGTTCTTGGGCCATAGCCTCTTCCATGGCCTTTAATGTAGCCTCTGAGAGCCGCTTTGGGGGAGCCACAGGCTCTATGGATTGCCTACCACAGGTGGGGAACAGCATATTACTATAGTTTTAATGTCCTTTTGAAATAAAGGGTAGATGCAGAACACCACATATGGAATCCTAATGAAGGGCCCACATTGGGAGACATATTCGTAGATCAGTTCAGCCAAGGGCAAGCTATAAGATATAGTCATCATTTGTTCTATTGGACAGCCCCACTGTGGCTGTCTAAGGCCCCAAGAGCCTAGGGAAAAGAATGGCCCATAGTAGACTCTCAGTAGATCTGGCAGGTTGCGGCCCAAGATCAAAACCTAAAGCTGGCGAGAGCTGGCTGCAGCGGGGACAGAGAGAAGCCCTGTCCCTAATGGATACTTCCACAGAATGTTTTGGGGCCCTATTCTGTCTCCCCACGAGGACTCTGCCTGCTACTTGAGGCTCATGCCAGCAATTTTGAAACAGTCCCTAGAGACTGTTCTCTGCCTCCCAAACTGAGCAGAGCCTGCAGGAGAAGCAGCCGCCTGTCTCCTAGCCCTGAGACCTATAGCAATCAATGGACGTCCAGGAATAGGAAACTCTCCTCTCACACTACCAGCAGAGCCAGGAGGAAATGCTTCCCTAAGCCAAAAACCGAGGCAAGAGTAAACAGGAGTGCCATGTTCCCCTATCTCCCCATGGGGGCATGTTTTCGTCTGCTTAGAGTTAAGTCAGTGTTTGAAAAGGAGTAAAAGAAATTCAGAGCACAGATGGGTGTTAAGGAATAACCGTATTGATTAAAACAATGTCTGCAAAGTAATAAGGACTGCTATTTTGATTGTTTTCTGGTTTGTGAAGGAAATACCTAAAGAGAAACCCTAAGAACATTCTGAGCAAGGAAAGCATAAGCAGGATAAAGCATTTTGCCTCCCAGAGTGATTTTCCTAAAGGTCAGCGTGTTGTCTGCATTTCCAGGTCCCTCCATCGCATGTTGAGACCTGGTCTCACCACAGCCATTGCCCACTGCAGGCCTCATTGCTCAGCTGGCCTCAGTAGGAAAGTGTGGGCATGACCCAAATCAAAGAGGGTGGGTGAGTCAAACAGGGGAGCCAGCCCTCCCAGCTGGGGACTCAGAACCCCTTCTCCCCCTAGCTGGAGCACACAGCAGATGGAAGGCAGTGGGAAGATCAGATTAGAGCAGCGGAAGAAAACAAGGACTTGAGCCCCTTGAGACAAGAAAGAGAGAAGAAAACAGAAGAGGCTACTGACAACTCTTAAGCGATCGTAAAGACCTTTTCTTCCCCCTTTCCCAAAATAATAACTCAGACCAGAAAGTCTTGAGCTACACCTTCAATCCTTTTCTGCTCCCACCTCCATCTCTTTCCTCCTTCCAAATCCTGGCTTCCTGTCAGTCCCGACACATTCCAACTGATGCGCTTGTGAGAGATGTGGCTGCCATGTCCTCTGAGAACGCTGCCCTCAGAAAGAGCCTCCCCCGGCAGCTCTCTGCCTCATCAACCCTCCAACTCATTTCCAACCCTGGCTGAAAACATCTTTTCTCCCTGAGACAGTACCTTTTAATGTCTCTCTTCCCTGTGGGGTGTGGAGCTATGTGGAGCCCTAGGGACAGATGCTGTGGAAAGCTGGGGCATCAGACCATGTGGTGGCATGTGCCCAGGCTACACGCACCAGTGAGCTCGCTTGCACACCTGGCACACAGGCAAGCAGGGCTGTTTTCCAGTGGGTCTCTTCTCCCTCGCCCAGCTTTAAAGATCTAGTATCCTAAACTCCTAGCTTAGGTCCAAGACAATAAACAATGTCTTGAAAGATCCATGACAATCAGGAAGTTGGGGACTCCAGAGGACGAGGCAGCTCTGATTTCTAGGCCAACTCCTCAGGTATCAGAATCAGTGAGACCCAGTGTCCAACAGAGGATGACAAAGGGGAGGCTCTGTAGCAGCACTGTCATTTCAGGCTGGCCATCAAGTACCTCAGACACATGTGAAGGAAAGCAGGGAGGAAGGGAGGACGGGAGGACAGAGCGAGAGCACCCTAGGAACATTCTGAAAAGGCTACACTACCACGAAAGCTGGGACCAGAATCAAAGAGTGCTCGTATCCTCTCATACTCAACCTGGTGGCTTTGATTCATTGGCCCTCTTCCTGCAAGTCCCCATGAAAGATGCTGGGATGACAAAGGAGAGGATATTCGTGTTGTCAAGTCCTGCCTGGTGGCCACAAAGCACGCCTCGTGAGTGGCGCGTGCTGCCTCCCTGCTTCACCCGCTCCCTCTGACCTGCTTCTGCCCCGACCCTGCCACTCCACTTGATGTCTTTGGAAGCTGACAGACACAGAACTACTCCCACAAAACCCAGAAGACCAATCTATTCCTAATGTAGCGATAAAGATTAATATCGGGTGGCGCCTGTGGCTCAAAGGAGTAGGGTGCCAGCCCGATATGTCAGAGGTGGCAGGTTCAAATCCAGCCCCGGCCAAAAACTGCAAAAAAAAAAAAAAAAAAAGATTAACATCAAGGAAGTTATAGGGCCTGAAAAGACTCAGGAAAGGAACAAAATTCATTTCCTTAAGGAAACTGAAACCGTGTGATCACATAAAGTGTCTCTGAGATACCAGTAGGGACAGACTCGCTGGGATGGGGAAGAAACACAAAGTAAGGGGATTAATCAGCTGAGGCAGCTGGGTAGGACCTGGGGGCCCAGGCTGCCTCCCAGAAGTCCTAGGAAAATACCTCTCTGACCTCTGCCCAGCTCTTGCTCTCTCTGAACCACACTTGTCTCCTGTCCTCATAGAAAGCACCCTAATCTGGCTCTCCACAGCCACCAAGGAACCCTGGGAAAGCTGCATCATTCCTCAGGGTCACAGCTTTCATCATAGAATCTATCACTATCTGAAAAATGTGGCCACCCATTCCCCATATCACTCCTGCAATGTTATGGTGATGACATGAGATCACGAGCTCACGTGTCCTGCCAGCTCTCAGTGACATTCCCCTTGAGTAATCAGCACATGAACCTGTCTCTGTGCAACAGTCAGCCCTACATCCTTTGTACCTGCTCAGTTCACAGAGGGAAAAATGTACAAATTCAGGCACCTGCCTTTTTCCGAGCAGAGAAAAGTAACAGTGGCCGCAAACTAAAAGTCGGAAGTCTAGAACTCTAGTGACTAGAGTCTAGTCCTAATTCTGCAACTGACTAGTAACGTGACCTTGAACAATCTCTTCACCTCTCTGAGCCTCAGTTTCCTCAGAAGGAAAAAGGGTAAGAAGAGGAAGGGTGAGAAGGAGAAGAGAAAAGTGAAATGATTTCTAAACGTTAGAAATGCTTGGCATAATAACAGGCGAATCACAAAAAATATATTGACCTTTGAACCCACAGACAAAAGACATATCCTGTATAATTTCATCCATATGAAAGTGGAGAACCAGAAAATTGAATCTACAGGACAGAAAGCAGAGCAGTGCAGACCTGGGGTGGGTGGAGAAGGGTATGAGGAAACTTTCTCAAGGGATAGAAACAGTCTATGTCTGAGCTGAGTGACAGTTACATGGTGTGCACAGATGCAAACATTCGTGGAATTATATACTTCGGATTTGTGTCCTTCAGTATAAATACTCCATCAAAAAAGTTTAAGAGAAAAACAGGGTTTGGTAGAGGAGATAACAGGACTTAACAGGTTTCTACTAATGAGACAGGAGGTACCTCCTGGTCCACCCCTGTACCCCAAGTCCTGACCAGGAGCCCTGGGGACCTAAGCTAACCCCAGGTGAAGACTGGCAACAGGTATGTGGGGCTCCTAGGCTGCATGTGGGGCACCAAGGATATGCTCAGTCTCCCTCTGCACTCCACCTCCTGCGGCATCCCCACTCCCCTCCCAAGAATGAATGGGCACGACAGTAATCTACACAGAGTGGAGGACAGGGACAGACACATAAAACTGGCCCTTACACCTCTGGAGAGACTGGCAGGGTGGGGCTGACCACCACCTTCTCCTTGAGTTCCTCTGCCTCTTCCTGCCAAGGGCCCAGCTCCTCAGCCTGGGAGTGCTGCTCCTTGCCCCTCTCGTGGGTGGCAGGCAGGCTTGGGGCCAGTTCCCTTGATGGCAATAAGGAAGCAACGGTGTTAAAGCCAGTAGGAAGGAGACACCCATTTGGGGTCAAAGAGTTATGATAGGGACAAGAGAAATAGCCCCAAGAAAGTTTCCCTCCCTCAGGTCTCAAACTTTCTTCCAGTTGCTTCCCAAGCTGTCTGTATTAAAAACCAAAGACTCCTGCCCCACGTGGGAACCAGGACAGCACAGCAGCCAAGGAGAAGCTCTGCATGCAGCTGGTGTTCAGTGTGGCTGTTGCTTGGGGTTCCCAGTAACTCATTCCAACCTGATGAGTTCTAAGAATGGCATCTTTCTTTTGCTAGGGGGACAAAGAACTAGCATATGTACATGGGGCTCTGGACCAGGCTAGGATGCAAACCCAGGTGGGTTCAGGATAACTTGGGGCTCTGCGCCTCCCTCTCCCTGGGCCTGGCACACAACAGAACTCCAGCTGAATTTGCAGAATGACTAGAAGTGAGATGCCCACTGAAGGGAGGGTGCTGGTGGGGAGGGGACCAGGAGAAATGGCTTCCATGCCAGGAGCGGAGCAGCCAGGGCGACAGTAGTCTCTACCCTAGTTCATGACAGGGAGATAGCTGGGATAGAAGAGATGCCTTCTTGTTCAATAGTCTAAGTTCTCCTAATCAGTGCACCCCAATCTCAGGTGTAGACTAAGGAATAGGAAGCAGCAGACTTTACTCCCCAGCTCCCGTGAGACACTAAAGCAAACCCTCTGCTGCTGATGCTTAGGCTACAAACCTGCCCTAGCCCCACCCACCCCACCTCCCCAGGCCCATCCACTGCCTCCTCTCTCAGCATAGCACATGCACACAGCACACTCCACACAGAGGAGCCATTCCCACCATGGGGTGCTTTTCCTCATCCTTACCTCTGAAGGGAAACCAGTGGGCTGGAGGACCCTACTGGGTCCTCCCTAGGTTCCTCGGCCTCCTTCCATTCAGGCTGCCCCTGAGGGGACTGCAGGGGCCCCTCTTCAGTAGAGTGGCTCTGAAGGGGACTCTGGAGCTGCTCCCTATGCAGAAGTGGAGGAGATAACCTGGTCAGGCCAGCCAGAGTAGATGAATCAGAGCCCTTAATTGTAGAGCAGAAAGGGAACTGGGGAGTGCAGAGGTGGACTGAGGTCAATCCCTCCTCCCAGGCTAGGTCCTAGCATCTGCCCCTACACCAGCGGACAGCACAGGGGACAAAGGCCAATTTGCAGGAAGGAGAGACTCCCTCCTGAGCTCTCCTGCCTGAGTTAGAGTCAGACTCCCTAGGTGTGCACTGTATTTGCTTGGTCCAGGAAAGAGAAGTGGACACACTCCAGGTATACTCATTCCTAAAGTCCACCATGACCAGGGCAAGGGAGGGATAGAGAACTGAGTGGAAAATGGGGAGAGCAAGAGAAACCAGACTCAAGTGATCAAACTACAGAAAACACATGAAGCTGTCAAAGATAGCTTTTTCCAGTCCCAAAAGGGAAAAACTGTTGTTCCCTTTCCAGGGTGGCAGCCCTTATCACGTGGGTCAGGCCTGAGAAGCCGGGAGCCTCTGTCACACTCACACACAAAGTTAGCACAGCCACTTCTGATGTCGCAGAGCCCTGACTACAGGCTCCGAAATGTAGCACCAACCCTCCATCATGACTGCCCTAGACTGCCAGAGGATACTTCAGCCCTGGCCTGGGACCAGGCTCATACACAGCCTGATCAATGCAATCCAGGAAGGGAGACAGAGCTCTGGTCTCATGACGGGGCACAGCGTGCACCCATTTCCATCTTGGTGCAGAATCAGAGGACAAACTCGGCATGCATACATGCACGCACACATACACACATGTGTGTGGGCACACACACATACACACATGAACGGGCAGACCTTGCAAGGCCACGCAGCCAGTTCATCCCCTGCACAGTGAGTCCTGACAACCAGCAAAGCCAGGAATTCTGCCCAACTCCACACCACTCTGAAGGCACCCCAAGGTCCCTGAGGTCAGCCCCCAACACACTGTACCTCTCCAGGCCTTCCGACTGCTTGCTCTGTGGCTCATCCTGGTTGGACTGGTTGTCATCCTTGTCTTCTTTTCCTAACTCCTGAGCCTGTAGGCAAGAAACGGTGAAAAGTGTGCACTGGAGGGGTCTGCATTTGGGTCTCTCCACCCTCCTGCTGGCTCTCAGGCTTAGGAAAAAGCACTGAAAGGTAGCTCTCTAGAGGATGGAGACCACACAGGACATAAAACAGAAGGCCTGTGTCCTGGACAGTGAAGCTTCCCGAGCTCTGGCTAAGCCCCCAGGCTCACAGCGGCTCCCTAGGCTGGCTGCGCTGGCATGGCAAGGAGGAGACAGGACAGATGACCACAGCCACTGCACACACAGTTAGAAAGCAGAGGCTGAAGGAGAACACATAGGAGAAGAAAATCCTGCCTCCTGCTGCTGGAAGCCTGTATTTTCAGTTGCAGAGAAAGCAAAGAATCCATGAACACCCCAAGTCCACAGAGGCCCAGACTAGCAGCACCAGCGATATACAGGCATGCTGAAATTCAGTGGGCAGAGGAAGGGCAGCAGGAAAACCTTAGAACGGGAGAATCCCGGACAGATGGAGACTTAGTGGAACAGTAAAGAGCTACACCCCAGACAAAAGGGTACCATCCAGCTCCTGGACAAAGGAAGATAAAATGTTCCTTTGCTTCATTCCTGCCCCCACCCCCAAAAGGCTCCAGGTCCATCAGTAGGCAGTGCTGCACCCTTCCCAGTCAGAAATTATATCTTCCATTAAAACAAACAAAAAGCAAAGAAACCCAGCTGGGTGCCATGGCTCTCATATCTGTAATCCTAGCATTCTGGGAGGCTCAGGCAGGAGGATTTCTTGAACTCAGGAGCTAAAGAGCAGCCTGCAAAAGAACAAAACCCTGTCTCTACTAAAAATAGAAAATTAGCCAGGCATTGTGGCGGGCACCTTGTAGTCCCAGCTACTTAGGAGGCTGAGAAAGGAGGAATGCTTGAGCACAGGACTCTGAGCTTGCTGTGAGTTATGATGATGCCACTGTACTCTAGCCTGGGCAGTAGCAGAGTGAGCCTGTCAAAAAAAAACCCCCCAAAAAACCCCTCATTTTAAAGCTTGAGTTTCTAAGCAAATCTAGCAACCTGGTTTAAAAAAAATGGGGGTGATATGGGGAGGCTACTGCTAATAATTTCAAATATTTTCTACAAGGTTAAAAAGTGTAGTCGTCTGGGGTCAATCCCGTGTTCTAGCACTTCCTACCTGCGAAGTCTGTCTCCTCCACTGTAAAATAGGATAGTAAAGCCACAGCTCTGAGGGCTGCTGATAAGGATTAAATTAGATCAGGTACATAAAACCTGACTCCTCGTCCAAAGAAGGCATGACATAGATGCTAGCTCCTCTTCCCACATTCCTCTCTCTCTCCCCAGCCTAAGATTTAAAAAAGAGAAAAAAAGGAAGGAAAGAAGGAAAGGAAAAGAGGAAAGAGGAAAGGGGAAAGGGAAAGGAAAGGAAAGGAAGAAAGGGCTCGGTGCCGGCCACAAGCACCAAGGTAGCGGGTTCAAACTGGGCCTGGGCCAGCTGAACAATGACAACAACTGCAACAAAAAAATAATAGTAGGGCATTGTGGCGGGCACCTGTGGTCCCAGCTACTTGGGAGGCTGAGGCAAGAGAATCACTTAAGCCCAAGAGTTTGAGGTTACTCTGAGCTATGAGGTCAAGGCAATCTACCAAGGGCAACATAGCGAGACTCTGTCTCAAAAAAAAAAGAAAGGAAAGGAAAGGGAAAAGAAGGAAGAAAGGTTTTGCCAGTGCCAGTCCCCATTCCAGGACCTGCACTCCTTCTGTCACACCGACAGGAGCCCCGTCTGTTCTGGGACACAGGGTCAACAGGAGAGGTGGGGCAGGAGACAGCTCACTCCGTCTTCCCCAGTGGGGTCCCCAGCCCTGTGCCCACAGCCCCCCACACCTCTCCACTGGCAGCCTGAGCCCCAGCAGCTGTGGCCAACTCTGCCATCTGGATGGGTGAGGAAGGGCAGGGCCTGAACTAAAACCCAGCTCCTCTGAATTGCATTAAAAATAGAAACGCTGCCTGTGCACACCTCCTGGTGCCTGCAGCAGAAGGGCTCCCTGCCAGGGCTGCCACTCCTCATCGCGTCAGCCTGGGCACAGCCTGCAGACAATGACAGGGGCGTGCAGCCTTTCCCCACCCCACCTCTTTCCCCTTCCAGGATTTGACTCACAACTTGTCTTCTGTAAAACGCACCACACTCATCAAATACCTTCTCTCTGACTTCCCAAGGAAAAAAAAAAACAATCGCACAGGCCAACTCCACTTAACAAACTAAAATATGAATAATAAAATGGGATAATCATAATAAAAATTTGGGGATTGAGCCCAGAGTCAGGAAAGACTCCAGGGCTGTCAGCCAGACAGTGAGGACACAGACAAGCAGACGAGAGGGCCGGCTGTAGACCAAGTCTTTCCACCCACTCCCTTCTTGTTTCCCCTTGGGTATTTCTGTGAGAAAAGAAACTCGCTCTACTGCCATAGAAAAGGGCATACTTTGGGGAAACACCTCGACAGAGGGTCTTTGGGGTAGTTTTACTTGCTGTCTTGACCTTTTTGCCCTAGAAAAGGAAGCAAAAGAACCAGATGAGGAAACCAGCCACGTTGGCATGCTTCAGAAAAGGGAGACAACAGTACACCCTGGGCCTCTGGCCTAGAGCTATGCAGGACACCATTTCCTCAGCCTTTACTCAGCTCTAGGGTCTTGGCTTTGTGGAAGATGCAATCTTTAGTTAAATAAACCACAGTGCATTCATACAGCCCCCTGAACGAACAGGTAGATCTGATTCTATGAGAAGTACCTTAGAAATAAGTCAGGGGACTATTCTTAAATTTTAAGAGCATATTCACAAGCAGCTTGGTAGCACAATTCTAATTTTTATGGGAAGAAAAACATAAAAAATAGATAAATGCTTATATGCACACAGAAAATTTTGCGTAAAGAGACATGAGCAATGTTAATGGAAACTGCTCAGTCCCGGCCTGTGGGAATAAGCCTCCAGGAAGCAGAGGACTTGTACCTTCTGTATTATTTGAAATAATTTTATGATCACTTTCTAATTTAATATAAAATTATGCTTATAATTCAGTATAAGCCTTAACTGTGGTAATGGTTTCAAAGGTGTATACATAAGGTAGAACTTATCAAATGGATGTGCAGTTCGTCATGTCAACTGAGTCTCAATAAAGCTGCACACAAAATATTTTAAATGAACAAAAACTAGTATAACTCAGATCTGTGCTCTGCTCCTATACTTGGGAGGCACAGAGACCATGGCAAAATGGGCACAAGCCCACAGAAAGGATAAAGGGACTGCACCAACAGTTGGGCCTGTCACACAAAGGGGCTGCTGCTCTCTCCTCCAGCTCTACCTCCCTGCTCGACCTCTCCATGCCCTGAAGATGGAGAGAGCCTAGAGGCTGAGCTTTCCCTGCAAAGGGCTCCATTTGGTCACCCAACCCAAGGACCCAGCATTGTCCACGCTCGGACAGACCAGTCACCAGTTATAGCCTAGGCCTTGCTCTGCCTGGGCTAGCCACGTCAAGGGGGTGCCTCATGAGAACCAAACCCAAGTCTGGTTCTGCTACTGCTTCATACCAAGTGACCTGCCCCAGAAGGAAAGAGGCAGCATCAAGTCTTAGGTAAGATGTAGAAGTCTTTTTTCAGGTCCCCAAGTAATTCTAACATTGGCCAGGTTTGGGGAGCCAAAACAATGGAACTCCATCACTAACTGGGTTACTTTCCCACTCACTTACTGCCTCACAATTCACCTGCTCCAAACCCTTCCTTGCTAATCCTACCTGCCCTTTTCTATGCCTTTATATCCCTCCAGCACTGCAAACAGGTCTAGCAGCAGGGACCTGGTGGCTCACGAAGGGTTTATCAGAGAGGAACATATGCTCAAATGTAGTCAGACTCTACCCTGTCTCCAGCACGCTTTTCACCAAAGGCTTTCAGGCAAAGTTCATATTAAACATCTTTTTGTTTGTTTTACCCAACTAATTTCCATTTTGCCCAAACCAAATGCTCCCTTTAACTTGCAGAAACCAAGTGTCAGAATCACTCTTCTCCTAACCAACCCACAGAGGAGAAAAAAAGTGATCTTCTTGGCTTAAAGCTCCATAAGCACAGGATCAATGCTAGAGTCATCTTTGTATCCCACATGGTCTGATGTCATACGTGCCTGCCCAGTGCTTACATCTGGCAGGGGAGACAGACAAAGCACCAGAAAGCAAAACAAGAAGCAGTGAGGGGAGCAAAGAGAGGGAACAATTCACCCTGCTCAGAGGAAGTGGTGTCAGAGGTGGGCCTCCAAGACTGTGAAAGAGCTTGCCAGGACAAGAGGGGAAGCAGCATGGCAGGCCGGCAGGCAGCAGCCAGAGCAGAGGTAGCAGTAGAGGTGGAGGGAGGGTAAGTTCCAGGAATGGTGGGTGGCAGACCCAGCTGGAGGAGGGGCAGGAAAGGATAGATGGGCCAGGCTGGGAAGTGCCCTGAAATCCACTGTCTACACAGTGCTTTGCACGAAACAAGTGCTCAACTCTTAACTGCTGAATGAATAAATAAATGGATAAATATATGGAGTGAAGGATTTAATTCATAGCAGCAACAAGAGCAAGAATGGTCAGAAGCTCCATTGGGGCACAGTCAGGGCCATGCCTTAATGAATTAGAGGGGAGAGGACGTCCAGAACCCTATCCTGGGGTGGGCAGAGCTCCGGTCCCATAAAGTGGCTGCCAGAGAAATGAGGCCCCAGCCCAGACCATCACCCAGAGAGACTCACCTCCCTATGGACTCCATCCAGTACCGGAGAGAGCATGTCAACATCCTGCAGGTGCTCTGAGATCCGGCTGCGAAAACCAAAGTCCTGGAGACAGTGGAGATAGGGAAGTCAGTTCTGCCTCTATACAGCCAGCACCCACCTGGAACTCTCCTCTACCTGATTCCAACTTTCCAGAAAGGTGTCGACCATGTGCCAGGCTCCGTGCTAAACATTTCAACATCTACTAATTTAATCTTCACAATAACATTGTGACTAGGTGGAAAGCCGTGTGCTAAAGCAGGTATGGCAAAATCATTTTGTATACTAAAAGTGGTAAGTATGTGGCTATTTACTAGAAAAGTCTTAATTTTTACACGTTTGAAAATTTTCATAATAAAATTATGAGGAAAAAATAACCTTAAGAGACTTAAAATCCCACCCTCATCCCAGAGATGAGAGCAGGTGGAAAGCATGTACGCTGTGCCCAAGGTCACACAGCTGATGAGCAAGGGGGTTGGGAGCACAGGGCTGACTCCAAAGCCCCAGCTCTTTCCATGACACATGCTGCAAAGTATGTCACTTTCCAGCTGTCTCTCCCCTACAAGGGCCCAACCAAGGAACCACAAGGAAGGCCAAACTCAGAAAACCTACAGGCGGAGTTTGGAAACAAGGCCTGGTAGGCTCTTTCCAGCTTGCTGTGCCCCCTTTTCCATACAGGTGCCTCTCTGGACTATGGGGATTAATAAGTGGCACTTTTAGCACAGGCTTCACTTGGGGACAGGCAGCAAGTGCCCACACCAGTGCCAGTTCTTTGCTGCCCACTGGCTGCCACAGGACCACAATCCCACCCCCTCTGAGCCTAAGATCCCCACTGGGCTAAGTGGCGGATGGCTACCCAACAGCATGCTAATGGGGACAGTTCTGTCATCAGTTCTGATAAATGGCGGGACGCCCAGATAAGGTCTGGTCCTGCTGTCCACGGCATCCTCCATCCACTCCCATGGAGAAGAAAAATGCTGATGGGCACATTTCTCCACATGGGTGACTGCGTTAGAAGAGCCAGACCCTCGGCTTCCAAGGGTTTTGTGACATGGCTACTCTTCATGGACAGTTTTTGCCAACAGCCATGACTTTTTGCCTTCCTTTCCTAGCTTGCGGGTTTTTCTTCTTTTTGGTGACATTTTCCTTTCAGTTTGAGTTCTACTCCACTTAATGCAGCTGCCACCTGCCTCCTAAGCCCATGGCTCAGTGAGGGGCGAGAGAACACAGCCTCCTAATTCCTCCGCACCCCCCCATATCATTACTGTTCATCCCTGCCCCTCTTCCACTAATCCCTTTGCTTTGATCTGCCTCTTCCAAACAGATGGAGGATGGTTTCTAGAGGTAACACTCTGCCAAAAAGCACCCCAAACTACTCCCCTTAGATACAGACCGAGCAAATGAAACAAGGATATAGCAGGCTGGGTAGAAGGTCTGTGACAAAGAAACCAGGCATTCCAGGACAAAGCCTTAACTTTAAAAATGAAACCACAGCATAGCTCCTGGCCAGAGTCTGGAGACTGGTCCTTGCCACAGCTCAGTGATCCCATAAATACAAACACACCAGTCCCTAACCTCCTAGAGACCAAAGGCAACTCGCATGATCTCACAGGCAATTTGGAACAGTAACAGTAAAAGCAGCTAACATTCTAATGTCATTAAATATATAATAGTAACGTTAATGTTTATATGCTAACATTTTACATTCTTTACCTCACTTTCTTCTCAGAGCAAACCAATAAAGTAGGCAGTGTTATCCTTAGTTAATGGGTTGTGAATCTGGAGCTAGACAAGAGCTAAGTATGATTTCTAACTTCCCCCACGCACAAGCTGTGTGATGCTGGGCAGATTATTTAACCTTGGGGACTCACAAATCCATGCTCTTCATCACCACTCCACTACCCTCATCTCAAACTCACCAGGCCACAGAAGGACTTGAGGTCAGAAGCTGTGGACTCTGAGAGCTGCAGTTCCTTCACTTGTTCACTGATATCTGACTCCTGGGAAGAGAAACCCACAGAGAAATCCCCCAAAGCAGAGGGCCACAGTTACTATACAGAGAATTCTGTTCAGGCCACAGTGCCAACACAGGGCTCAGCCCAAACCAAAATCTACCTCTTCTTGAAAACCCTAAGGAGGCCCAAGGACCATGCCATTCTCTCCAAACACATGCAGCAGCCTCCACCCCCTGGGACTGGGCAGCCCAGCCGAATATAGATGATCACACTCTGAATCAGACCAACAGAGATTTACACATGTAAGGAAAGCCAAGTGTGGTGGAGGTGGTCAGGGAGTTGGCAGTATCCTAAAAAACAGAATAAGAGCATCTTTTCCAGAAAACAGATAAAAGCTCTTTACATGAATTCCCTCACCATCTACCTGGAGGAACAATAGGGCTAAGGGTTATAAAATCTAAAATGCCCTTTGAGACATCTCCCCAGGGGGGCGTACTTCTGTCTATTCTGGTCATTGGCTTGATCTTACCAAAGCAACCACTTCCACATCTTGGGAAGGTTCAGAAAGAGCCACAGAAATTGATGAGTAGAGTCTTCTTATAACCCAATTACCTTTGCTGGGGCAGGATACTCCCAACTGTGGTACCCACCCCATCTCTCCCACTACACACTATGTTGTCCTCTAGCTATAGGAACTCAGACTATTGCAACCATGACTGACCCTAAATTGATGTCAAAAAGCAGAAAGGGGAGGCAGGAATAAGTTAAAAGAATAACATGAGTATCCCAGGAGGGTGCCAATAGAAAAGCAAATTTCTGCTCTGAATTTCAGTACCAGCAGGTTTGCAATTTCATTCAGGATTTTACTGCCTGCTGGGTCTGGACATATTTGTCACAATTAAGGGTTGGGCTGATGTTGACAGTTCAGTGCAGGGACTGCAAATGAAGCTCCTGGCTCGGTAATGAAGACATGGAGATAGGAACAGACAAGGGTGAAGAGAGCAGCAGAGGGTTGCAGCTGGCCCCTGCCTATGGGACACACTGCCTTACCTGGCTGGCATCTGATCTACTCTCTTTGGGGGCAGATGATTCCGTCTTTGTCTCCTTCACCTCTTCTCTCCCGGAACGCTCCTCTCCTGCATTCACTGTGTCCTCTGGTGCCTCCTTTTTAGAGACTTTGGCAGGCTCATCACCCCCTGGGCCCACCTTGGAGGGCACCAAACTCTTGGAAGCCCCAGGTTGACTCTTCTCATTCTCTGCTTTTTCTGGGAGCCCAGGACTTGCCCCTCTTCCCTGTTGTCCTTTGCCATCAGCGCTGCTCAGACTGCTGTCTGCCCCTTGGCTGGAATGCTTGCTGGAAGTCAGGGGGCCAGAAGCATCTGAACCTGGAGAAACAACCTTCTTCTCCCCTGGTTCACTTGTTCTTGGAGACTCCTAGGGAGCAGCAGACCAAGTTAGAGAAGAAGGTATCAGAAATGTATCAAAGGAGTTTAGAGACGTGCTGCCAGACAGGGCTGCCATTCCTGGATCCACCTGGGCTAGAGTTCTGGCCCCCACAACTATCAATCACCCAAACAGCTTTTTAAAACATAGATTCCTGGGCTCCACCCCCGATCTACTGAATCAGAATTTCGATAGTGATTTGGACATACCCAATCTGACTCCTGTCCACTGGTGAGCTTGGAAATCACTACATGGGACTATTCAACTCCATTACCACCAATCATGTTCTCAAGCAATAAATCTGTCTCGCTCCAGTCCCACTAGCCAAATAATAAGACTGCAGACTCAGAAGCCAGTATTTATTTAAGATGATGAGGGATGTTCATGTGAGAGAAAGGCAGCAATATCTGTAATTTCTATTTTTCACTTTTAATAGGCAGTGATGGTGGGCACAGAGTATCAGGAAGGTGCCCCTCTTCCCTAAAGCCTCCCCATCCATGCTGACCATCAGCAACCTGGAGATAGCAACCTCCATCAAGGACCTGCCAGCTGGGTCCTCTGGGAAGCAGATGCCAAGATGGAACTAGCTATGCAAGAGGTCTACTGAGGGAGATGTTTACAAAGGACAGTAGAGGCAAGGACAGCCTTCAGAACACAATGCAGGGAAAATACCTGTGGTGGGAAAGAAGAGCCGCAGCACACAGCAGTTCTGAGAAAGTCTTGGCCAGCCCAGCAGAACCCTCAAGCAGGACGCCATTAGAGGAGTCCCACATCCAGCAGAAACCGTCCTGCTTTTCAAACCCATTGTGCTCCATCCTTAGGAGGAAGCACGGTGGGTCGACAGGGCCGCCAGTGGCTGGAGACTGTCCTTCTGTTAAGCTCCCCTTGGCAGGGTCTCCTGAAAGGAGATCTGCGCAGTCTACCTTTAGGGTGGCCACACCCTGCTTCTCACACACAAATCTTACTTTAAAGACTAGAGAAACCCTAAGGCTGTTTCTACTTAAATTCTTTAGAATCAATCAAAAGAGTGGGGGGAAACCCTCACTTGGAAATATAGCCAGCGATCTCTTCTGGGCTCAGGCTGAGAATCCTTCCACCCAGAAAAGATCTGCGCTAACACTTGGGCTGCCAAGCTGAACAATTTCTGATCAGATTTTTCTTCTTCTTCTTTTTTTTTTTTTTTTTTTTTTGTTTTGGAGATAGAGTCTCACTCTGTCACCCCAGCTAGAACACAGTGGCATCATCATGGCTCTCTACAACCTCAAACTCCTGGGCTCAAGCAATTCTCCTGCCTCAAAGGACAGAAGAGGTAAGGAGAGCCCTCAAAGCACAATGCAGGGCAGATACCAGTGCTGGGAAAGAACAGCCTCAGGGCACAGCTCTCTGGAGCAGCTGGGATTACAGGCCTGTGTCACCATGTCTAGCTAATTTTTCTATTTTTTGTAGAGATGGGGTTTCACTCTTGCTCAAACAGGTCTCAAATTCCTGAGCTCAAGTGATCCTTCCACCTCAGCCTCCCAGAGTGCTAGGATTAATGCATGAGCCACCGTGCCCTGCCCCAATCAGAGATTTTTCTGAAGACTCAAACAAGGCACATAATGACTAAAGAGTGAAAGATCCAAGAAGCCCTAAGCATGACATTTATTGATGCTTTGTTAAAGTACCTGCTGTACCCATAGGTATAACCAGCGCGTGCAGGGCTGACAGCCTACTGACAAGCTAATCCAAGCTTCCTAAGGACAGTTAAGAAAGGCAGTAAAGCAGAGTATTTGAGAGCTCAGCTTCAAAGACAGACTACCTAGACTCAAATTTTGGCTTCACATATGCAGATGTGTGACCTTAGCCTAATTATTTACTTATCTGTGCCTCAGTTTCTTTCTCTAAAATACCAGGATATAGTAGTACCTACCTCATAGGGTTGGTGGGAAGACTAAGTGAGATAACACTCATTAAGTGAGTTAAAGAACTTGGGACTGCTCCTGACCTACTGTCAGTGCACGCCATAAATGTTAACTAATGTTACATGATGAGCGCCTTCTATGTGCCAAGCACTGCCCTGCGGATCTGAATAGACATAGATCCTGTGCTCAAGGAATTGAGCTAACGTGGAGAAAAGTGAAATGTCCCAGATGGCTCTGGTTACGAGCCTTGACTTCCCAAAGCAAACAGGCCACAAGATGCTGTGGTGATTCTGTCACAAGGCCAGAAAGAAAAGCAGAAGGGGTACTTTGGCAGCACACAGCAAGTACCCTCCAGGGCTGCCCCTCTCAGTAGGCCTACCCTCTACCCTGGAAGAGAGCTGCCAGGATCACTGGCCTCAGAAAAGGACACCAGACAAACTCCTCTTCTTCAAAAGAAGCAGTGTCAGGGCTCGGCGCCTATAGCTCAACCGGCTAAGGCGCCAGCCACGTACACCTAGGGTGGCGGGTTCGAATCCAGCCTGGACCCGCCAAACAACAATGACGGCTGCAACCAAAAAATAGCCGGGCGTTGTGGCGGGCGCCTGTGGTCCCAGCTACTT